TCTCTCTCTCTCTCTCTCACACACACACACACACACACCCTCATTCATATATATATTCACACATACATACTTCAGGTTAATTATTGTCCTTTTTGTAGAAACAAAGGATGGAATATGGTCCAAGACCAGCTGATGCTCCTTCTGCCCCATCACCCCCTCCAACACCAGCACCCGTTCCGGTCCCCCTTCCACCTTCTGCACCAGCACCCGTTCCTGTGCCCAAAGTTCCAGCAAATGTCACCCGTCAGAACAGCAGCTCCAGCGACAGCGGGGGCAGCATCGTGCGAGACAGCCAGAGATACAAACAACTCCCAGTGGACCGTAAGTCTCCTAGGGGCCAAGCCCAGTTTCTCAGATCATATTAAATATTGTTAGATGTAAATGATAGCCACTTACACTTCGTGGATATTTCCTCCCGATTTCTTGATCTCTGAGTGTCTCTGAGAAGCAGGTCGTTTTCTCAGCTCTCTACGGTGTGTGTTTGTGCACGCACTCCTGTGATGTAGCTGTTCAGGGCAGACTTGCGCAAACCAGACATACTGGATTTGACTCATGAACGTCACTTGCTACCTGCACATTTCAAGGCTTCAATGAGCCTCTATGTATTTTAGTGTCTGGAAAGTGGAGGAAACCAAAGCTGTGTTTCCAAGGACAAGTGTGAAGATTTGAGATGATACATGCAAAGTATTTAGTGCAAAGTACTTGCAAGTGTGGAGCGGAGGTGTGTGGAGTGTTTCTCAATCTCCCTCTCCCTGAGGAGTGTTTTTTGGTTGTCACAAGCTACTGACATCTAACCAGAAGTCAGGCTGTTTGGCAATTCCTGAGTTGTGCAGGCAGCTGGAGATGTCAGCAGTGCGGAGTTGAAAACTGCTCAGTTTTGACCAGTGCAAGCAGTCGGTCAGTATCTGCTGCTGACATTGTCGCCTCCTCATCTCCCAGTGTTCTCCTGGGCCTCTCCCTGCTGTTTGCCATCCTCAGGTACATTCAGAACCACATCAGCTTTACAGGATCACCTGCCAGCGTCAATCTCAAGTTTGCTTCCAACACAGATTTCATGCAGCTTGAACTTCATGTTTTCACAAATTAATGCAGATTTTTATGAGACTGGTTTCTATGAGAACCACAGTAAAATAAACAAAATTAAAGGCATTATCATAACTTTGGATTATCTATTTTGTTGCTGAGGCAGAACTGTGTAGATACTTTGAATGCTAAAGGTAAATTCTGAGTGTTTTGCTGTACCTTATATATTATGCATATCTGCTTCATGTCTAATAATGTTTTTAAATCATCGTAAGTCAATTTGCTTGATGATAACTCATTATAGAAAACTTGGAAAGCCAAAACCAAGATGACATTTCCTATATCTGAGGCTTGATAAAAGTCTATAAAGGGTAAGTGGACATGTTATGTGGAAAACATTCCTAGCATTTTGTCTCATGGTCCCTCCCAAGGTTCTGTGTTTTTCTCTCTCTATGAATTATTTTTTACTATAAATGATCCATCTGTTTCTATTCCCCTCAATACTATTCATGTTGTCAGAAAAGGAATGATCTGCAGCTGATTCTTCCTGCAGAACCTCATCTCTGATACCCAGTTACCTGCATTCAACTGTAAATCTCCTGGCTGACATCGTAGGCCTGAGGCTCAGGTTCCAACTACATTCCTAATTTTCAGTGTCGTTTTCCCCCAGTGAATCATAGCTGCATGTACCCATTCATTATCATTCTCAATAAGTGAAAAAGAATACAGTGGAGACCCAAATGTGTTACTCTTTAACTGCTGTGGCAGTAGTGGCAAGATGTAATAACCACAAGCCTATTACATGCATGATTTTTTTCTCCTGAAGTATGAGGGACTCAAATCACCTTTTTAGTCATGTTTGACTTCATTAGAACATTTAGTCATGTTCCTTCATTAGATAGGAAAAGGCACTTGCCATGACCTGAATTCAATCCATGGGACATGCATGGCAAAGAGAGAGAATCAACTCCCTTGTGTTGTCCTCTGATCTCACACCTACACACACACACACACACACACACACACACACACACCAGTAAATAAATGGAAAATATAATAAAAAGAAAATGAAAATTTAGAAAAGCAACTAATTCTGTGTCAGAAATAACTGTTTATGAATGTGAAATTAACTCTAATTAAATATATGACTAAATTTTTAAAATATGTGTGAGCTTTTTCGAAGATACCAGAGGAATAGTTTTCAGATGGGAAAATTCTATGAATATATTTCTTTTCCCTGGGGAACATTCCCTCTGAGAAACAACTGTTCTTTTCTCCTTTCTTCCCACAAGCTTACACATATCTCGGTCTGACATGTCAGCGCAGTGATCCCTGACACGGTGGCAGTCTGTTCCAGGCCTGGGGTCAGAGTTCAGAGGCATCCAGTCCCCTTCTGGAACAACACATGTCCTGGAATGGCTTGTTCTTTGTCCCACTTGAAGAAACCCGAGAACCTAGTGGGGAACAGGCATAGTTTGAACTCCCACACAAGAGCGAACTCTCCTGATAATTGAGACCCATCACTTTCAAGTCTGCTTTTCATACAGGAAAAGTTCACGGGGTCTGTAAAATAGAAACACTCTCACCAAATTAGCGCATGGGCTTGTGTCCTTAACATAATTTATCCTCATAATTGCTCTTGTAAAATTCCTTTTTAAAATATCTCGAGTGTAGTTTGGCATTAAATAAATTTATTTTTTGTATAAAATGAATATTTTCCAATAGCATATTTTTGGAGCAGTGTTTTTCTGAACAAAGGTCAGGGCTGTCTCGTGGTCATTTAGCAGATGACATAACTAAGTGTGTGTGTTTTGAGGTCCATGTTTCTCTCAAGATAAGCTCCTTGCTACTACATTCTCTGTTCATTCCCCAAACTTCTAATAAAAATAAAATGAAAAGGCCTAGAAAGTGGGAACTTATGCAAATATTATGGCCATAAACAAGGCCACGATATCAAATGTTTGTTTTAAAATTCAGAAGAGGACAGGGAGATGTATTTGGGTCGAGTGTTTGCCATGCAATGTGAGGATCTGAGTTCAGATCTCTAGCACCAATGTGAATAGCCAGGCATGACCATCAGCTTCATTCAGGGCACAGATGGCAGATCCTCAGCCCACTGGCCATCCAGTCTTGACAGCAAGCGTTCAGTGAGAAACTCTGTCTGAAAATATAATTTGGAGAGTTATTGAAGAAGACCTTTGACCCATGCCCTGCATAGGAGCATACACAGGTATACTCTCAAACATCACAACCAAGTTCACATGCATCACACACACACACACACACACACACACACACACACACTTACAGGAAAGGAGCCACTTTTGCTGAAGTGGCGTATGCCCTCTTTAGAAGAGCTGCCTGGAGGTTGCTGGAGCCAGGCATCCTGTAAGCTATTCAGATTGGTTTGTCAAAGATCCAGAAAGCATCACCTCTTGCCTCTTTTGAAGATGCCAGCTCAATAGTTTGCTTTGCATTTCTTCCTTTGACTTGAGCTCAACATTTTGTAACCAGTGCCATCACTGTGGGAAGGGGTGTGATGTTGGTCCGCTTTGGTGTTAGGAAAGAACATTGAAAGTGGAAACCAAAACCCAGGAGCATTCTAGAAAGAGGTTTCGTTGTAATGCCCGAGGAAGGCTACCACGGACTTGTGGTTCTCTTCAGTGGGTGAGAAGGTGTCGTGTTCTTCAGTGTAGTGGTATTGTCACTTTGAGACAGACTTACTTCCTGTGTGCAGACAGACATTCAGTGATTTAAAACAGTCAACTCCTGAAGCGCAGACGCTGTTTTGCTTACACCCATCAACAGTGTCCCTTCCCTTCTTTCTTCCTGCATTTTTCTTTCTCTCTCTTTTTCTTTAAATTGCTTCATCTTCCCCTAGATGGGGAAGGGGCCCTCTCTCCGAGGGGCTGTGGCAGCAGATGGCTGCTGAGGGGGAATGCAGTCATTGTCTTTACAGCCGCAACCATTGCTGAGTTACCAATGCTCCTCTGGCTTCACCCTCAAGCCCATGTGAGTGGTGCTAGGTAAACCCTGTGGGTCGCAAAGCAAAACAAAACAAAATCAGAAGACCTGAGGTAAAATGGCTGCAGGAGTGGGGGGTAGGGACGATGAGGATAAGCAAGGATGGAGGGAGGAACGTGAGCAGAATATGTTGTATACATGTAGGAAACTGTCAAAGAATAAACTAATTAAAAATAGCATTTCTTACATACTTGAGGCCCTAGTACAAATTAGACTTTATTAACACTAATTATTTCACAGTTGGCTTTCCAGAGACACCAAACACTTTCTAAGAATGACATCAAAAGCTCCCTCAGCTGTTCGGTCATTGACACTTGCCAAGTTAATTAGTTAATGGGATTATAATATCAGTTCTGATCTTCAAAACAATAACAGATAACAGTATACCTAAAGGCACACGTGCATTTTTGATACATTGAGATATTATCTCCTGCCTTTATATTCAAAGGCCCCTGGAAGGAAGCGCATGGAGGCAGAACCACTTGACGTGGGCACTGGGAGAAAGGAGGTGGCAGCTGGGAAGGAATTGGCCCCTGGAGTTCAAGGACAGTGGAGAGAGAGAGACAGAAGCAGTGACCCTAAAAAATAAGAGAAGAGCAGGATTAGGTGAAGCCCATTCTCGGGGACTTCCGCTTCCAAGGGAGCAGAGAAGTGGGGAGCAGCTGGGAGTGAAACATGATTTAAAAGAGAGAGAAATGACTAAAAGAGGAGTGTATCTGTATGTGGAGGAAATGAATCAGGAAAGAGGGAGGAAATGGATAAAACACAGGATAAGTAGGAGAGAAGTTACATCAAAGGGTTAGAATAGGCCTTGAACCCAGGGTCTAGGGCACTCAGAGGGGCTGGCCTTAGGCGTGCAGGCTGAGGAGGGGCGTGGCTCACCAGTATGATAGGGAAAAAACCAGCCTATGAGAGCAAATACTGACAGGAAGAACCACTGGAGAAACCTATGCAGATTGTTATTTACTTACTTTTGAGTCAGGGTCCCACTGTGCAGACCAGGCTGCTGTGGAACTCACTGTGCAATTTTGGAGGCTCTCTTTTATGTACTTTATTTTATTCCAGAGTTAGGAAGTGAGATCATTAGAGTGAGGATCAAAATAGGTTGGAGGTCTGCAGAATACGCCATGGATGTTAAATAGTTGCCTGAGGAGAGATGATTATATACGGTCTCAGTCTGTTACGGGAGGCTTTCATGGCACAGTATGATGCTTCTTGTGTTGCAAGTGTCTACCTGCTGCATTACAGCAGTGTAGCTGGAGTCCCGCCAGTCCCGGAGCCCGCTTATAAAATAAACACACAGACTCTTACGTTACTTAAACTGCTTGGCCATTAGCTCAGGCCTATCATTGTCTAGCTCTTACTCTTATATTTAGCCCATTTCTATTAATCTATACTTTGCCACGTGGCTCGTGGCTTACCGGTGCCTCACATCTCCCTTGTCCTGGCAGTGGCTCCAGCCAGTCTCCCCCTCTGTCTTCCTGTTCCCTCAATTCTCCTCTCTGTTAGTCCCGCCTATACTTCCTGTCTGGCTACTGGCTAATCAGTGTTTATTTATATAGAGCAATATCCACAGCACTTCCCCTTTTCTTCTTTTTCAAAAAGGAAGGTTTTAACTTTAACATAGTAAAATTACACATAACAAAACAATTATCAAGCAAGAATTACAGTTATAATATCTAGTCTATTTATAATAACTAGTCTATTTGGCAAAATTAAAGAAGATATCCTATCTATCATATTTGTGAGTCTAAGGTTTTATATCTAACTTATCTTTTATCATAACTAAGGAAAATTGTAACTATCTAGCTTCAACTACATCAAAGACCTCAGAAGGATGTAATATTACCTGAGAAATGGGAGAAGGATGCAAGCAACTTCCGGGAGTCTTGCAGGTAGACAGAGACAGCTGGCAGCCTGGACAGTTATCCAAAATTTTCTTCTGAAGTTGGGGCATCTGTCTTCAGCCCACAGGCCTCGAGTCTCTTAGTCACTTTTCTCTGTGTCATGTAGAATATCTGGCAGTTTCCTCTGCGAAGCAGGAACCTGAAGGACCATTTTGCCAAGTAAAGTTTAGTGGTCATCCTTCCATGGGTCCTGCATGTCCAGTTGATCAAGCAGTACAGGCAAGAACAGTTTCTTGCCGAAATGGCTATTTTTGTCAAGGTGAAGATAAACGCCATATGGAGTGTCTTCGATGCCCATTCTCCTCTCTGAAGTAAATCGGTGCTGCCAGGAGCAGACATGTCTCACTGTCCAGAAAGTCTAAATTTTTAAAATATTTTAAATGTTATATTCTGTAGGTCTTTGAAGTATTTGAAGATTACCTATCTATCTGAAATATATCTATGTATACCTAGAAGACTTAACTAACATGGCTACAAATATGATTATCATAGATGACTAATTACTAATCTATTTTTTAATTATCCATTACAATTTTAAATGAGCTGTACAAACATAACACCTTAAACAAGAGTAGAAATATACACACAGTATAACAAAATTAACTTTAAGTTTATATCAATAAACTAAAATCTATACCAATGTAAAACATTTTAAACAAGTTGTTGCTCTTTAAAAGTAGGTTCATTAATCTACCCTTTTATCCTATCATCTCTATATCCTATACATCTATAGCATATCCCCTTCTTTTTTAGAAAGAGATCGCATTTATAATCAACCTGATTTAAATAAAAATATTGGTTTTTCTCTGTCCTACACCAGAGGGCTCTTCTGATTTGGGACATAAGAATCTCTTAACCTTTTCTTTTAGCAATATGCCTGAGTTTAGAGAAGGAATGAGCCAATTCCATCTCCAAAGCCAGCTTGGTATATTTGGGAATTTGGGCGTAGCATCTCTTACTACTTCCTGCTGGAGGGGTCGCTGTATCTTATGGGGACACAAAGAAAATTTTAGGCTTATGGGGTAGTCCGTGAGGCTGTATTGTCTGAGCCAGTTGCCTTGAAACCATTCTGGATGTTAGATCATCTGGGCCATGGTGTCATTGGAGACCTTTCAGGGGTTCTTGACTGGTCAAACCTGATGTATCTTAATCTGGAACAAATCCATAGCCTCTGGCTTTCTGTGGAAACAAAAGCAGAGCCTCTTTTCCAAAGCAACATATCCTTATATCCAAATTTTGAAGTCAAGTTACCTTTAAAATTTATATTTTGGCATAACTCAACAGCTTTTGCAATCAAATGTTTTTCTTCAGTTATGAATATCAAAGAGAACATAATACAGATTCTCTGTGTGATAGCCATCTTTACATAGCTTATTTTTTATATTAATTTTACTGTCTCTTTAAACACTTTATTTTTAAAAATTATCTATGTGTTTATATAACTGTATATATTCCTTTTCTCTCTCTTTCAAGCCTACATAATTTTTACATACATTGTAAACTATTCCATCTGAATCAGTCTTATTGTGAATCTATTGCTTTAAACTGTAGCATTCTAAGACTGAAATGGCGCTGTGGCTGCTGGCTCTGCCCACTTCAGCTTCCCAACATGGTGGTGGTACGTTTTTCGCCAGCTCTGGGAGCCCTTAACTCTCAGAAATAGTGGGTCTATGCTTTTATCAAAGCAACGTGTAGCCCAGAAACCTCTTTTTGTTTTGTACAAGCAAAGGCTAAATTCATCAGGCATCTTGTGTGCCACTTGCAGAGGCCTCATTCCCGCCATACGGCAGGTCGAGCGTGCACATCAGGAACCCGCCATAGTAGATAGTAGGTCAAACACGCAGGCTGCCGCTAACTTGAAAGAGACAACTAGGAACTGTTTTTAGCTCCGTTTTAGTATCTTTTTACTCAGGTGGAAACTCTTGCCAACACGTTGGGCGCCATTTGTAGCTGGAGAATTTCTCTCCAGCTCCTGTTAAATCCCACCAGCCCCAGAGCCCACTTATAAAATAAACACACAGACTCTTACATTATTTAAACTGCTTGGCCATTAGCTCAGGCCTATCATTGTCTAGCTCTTACTCTTATATTCAGCCCATTTCTATTAATTTATACTTTGTCACGTGGCTCGTGGCTTATCGGTGCCTTACATCTCCCTTGTCCTGGCAGCAGCTCCAGCCAGTCTCCCTCTCTGCCTTCCTGTTCCCTCAATTCTCCTCTCTGTTAGTCCCGCCTATACTTCCTGTTTGGCTACTGGCCAATGAGTGTTTATTTATACAGAGCGATATCCACAGCACAGCAGCAGCCTTTTCCCTTGACCACGCCCATCTTTGACCACCAGAAGTATGTCTAGACAGGTTCCCACATGAGATCTCACTGGTTTAAAGCAGTGTAGAATGATCATCAGGGACATGGACAACCTAGCGGGGATCCTGATCATTAATTGAACATGAGGTGTTCAACTGCTGTCTCTCACACAGCTGAGCAGGCACAGGCACAGCCTGTGGAAACTACCGAGCAAAGAGAAGGGCCAGAGAGTCACTCTAATAATTCATCATGCAGCTTATACCAGGTCAGGTATAAGTGAGGGTGCATGGCAGGAACCCTGGATTGCAAATCCCTCAGGGGGCTGGGGATGATCAGGGATGAGGTCTAGAGGGGACATCATGGTGGAGATCTTTGAACACATGTGCTCCCTTTCGGTGTTCAGGAAGGAAGTCTCAGATGGAAGAGGTACAGGATGAACTCTTCCAGAGGCTCACCATCGGGCGCAGCGCTGCACAGAGGAAGTTCCACGTGCCACGGCAGAATGTTCCGGTGGTCAATATCACTTACGACTCCACACCAGAGGAAGTAAAGACGTGGCTGCAGTCGAAAGGATTCAACCCTGTGTGAGTGCCCTGGGTCACAAACCTTCTTCTCAGCTGGGTCACTTCTGTGCCACCCGTGACGCTTAAAAGTTGTCAGAGCCCAGGTGGCATTCTTTGTCCCGTATTCAGGAAACAGTGGCTAACTGTTTAAAAGCAAAGAAGAAAAGGGCAGAATTGGGGAAAACAGAAATGCCTAATCCTAGTCTGTCTTCTAGACGGTAGTTTGTATCCTTCACTAGTTTCTTGAACAGTTGTTACCAGCCGTGAGGACTGCTGGCATTTTATTCTTTCTCATCAGTTATGTGGAATAAGACGATGGTCTTAGCAGGACCATACCATGTAGGGTGTGTGACATAAGACTTCTTGCTGCAGGATAGACAGTCTAAAGGCTGTAAATCAGAGGCATCTTTACTGCTTTATGTACCTCTAATCTAAAAGTCTGTAGATGTTTTGTGTATATGCTGTACCATGAAATGTTTGAACGGTAGGTGGCTGAGGACTCTTAATTTAGAAACTCACTCACTTGGCATAATTGACAACAAAGTGCAGTTGTTAGTCAGCTGCCATGTTACAGGAAAACTATCTGTTGTTCTTAGGGACAGGAAACAGAAACCCGAGCGAGTCGATGATTCGAAACCCTAACCATTCTATGCGCAAGGAACCTCTGGGTCATGGCCATGAACATCTCTTGGCATTCCTTTGTCTCAGCACTATAGTGCTGTTTAAGGATATGGACTACACAATAATGGCCTAAGCCTGTCATCCCAGCACTTGGGAGGTAGGGATGGAGGATCTGCAGTTCAAGGTCAGCCTGAGCTACATAGGGAGTTCTAAACCAGCCTGGGCTACATGAGACCCTGTCTCAGAGGTGAAATCAAGTGAACACTAAAAAAACATGGATAGATAAATGATAGATATGAGAGAGGGGGGTTGGATGAACTGGAGAGATGGTCTAATTGCTAAAGCAAGGCTCACAACCAAAAGCTTGAAGAAGGAGAGAGAAGCAGCAGCAGCTTTTCCTTTGCTGACATTCACAACAGTCTGGTAATGTCTTTCCTTCTGCTCTTTATTTCAGGACTGTCAATAGCCTTGGGGTGCTGAACGGAGCACAGCTCTTTTCTCTCAATAAGGATGAACTGAGGTCCGTCTGCCCTGAAGGTGCCAGAGTCTTCAGCCAAATCACTGTGCAGAAGGCTGCTTTGGAGGTGAGACTGTGGACAGAGCGGGTGTCTGTTAGGGACCTAGGCCTGCCCAGCAGCTCTGGGACCAGTGTTCTTGTCCATGTTGGTCAATTTCCCCTCACCGAAGAGGCGAATTAAATGTGGCTGTTTTCCCTGCCACTAGATATTGTCAGCAACTGTTTTCACAAAGGTTGTCTTTCAGTACAACTAGAGATTCATTGCTGAGCGTTTTAACAAAAGCACAATGTTCTCTTTTTATTGCATAAGCTCCTATAAAAACTTCAGTTTTGCTAAGAGAAAATAAATTCATACCTGAGTTGAGTAACTGTCTGAGAGGCTAGGACTGTTTCTTTAAATTTTTATTTATTTTGGAAATGTCAGTATAATAAATAAATAAAACCCTAGTTGTGGGGTGCTAGAGAGATGGCCAGGCCATTAAGAACATGCCCTGCTTTTATGGAGAACCTGAGTTCTGTTCCCAGCACCCACAGAAGGTCACACATAACCATTTGTAACAGCAGCTTCAGGCGTTAAACACTGTTTCCTTGCCTCGAGGGCCACCTATGTGCATATGCCCACACACATAGAAATGTACGTAAAAATAAATATACATGGTGGTGGCACATCTATAAGCCAGCCCTTATAGGGGGAGGCAAATAGCTTACTTCAAGACCAGCCTCAGCTATAAAGTGAGTTCGAGGACTGTCCAACTACCCGAGATCCTTTCTCCAACAAACCAAAGTCCTGGGTACATTTCCTAAGCCTAGTTATCCATCTACAGAATCATCAGGAATTCTAAGGAAGGCCATTAAAAATGTGTAGCTGTGGGATGGGGAGACAGCTTAGCAGCTAGGATGGTGTAATCATGACAACCAGAGTTCAAATCCCAGCACCTATTTAACCAGCCAGACATCCCACAAACCCACAAATACTTCTGACTCAAGTTCTGAGGGATCTGCCACTTCTTCTGGACTCTGAATGTACACAGGCAAACCTGAGTGTGAACGTTCCACATGCATATATAATTCTCTCTCTCTCTCTCTCTCTCTCTCTCTCTCTCTCTCTCTCTCTCTCTCTCTCTCTCTCATACACACACACACACATACACACACACACACACACACACACACACATGCATATTAAATAAAATAAATCTAAAACAAAGGAAAATAGCCAGCTACGTGAAGTATTTAGTCTTGGCTGTCTGCATAGCAGCTACAGAGTAAATGAACATCTGTTCAGCTGGAGGTGTTCAAGCTATCCTCTTCAAAGTTGGTTCTGTAAGAGTTAATAGTTTTGTGAAAATTATAGGTGGCCTCAAATAAAAGGACATAGGATTCAACATGAAGCTGATAGCTAATTTTCCCTACCAGGTATATTATGTAAATTGAACAGTTAAATAACTCAGGATAAAATAGCTTCATGTGTATAATCCTATAACCATTCTCCATCAAGCAAAATTCCATTACCGTGAGAATTCTCTTCTACAACATTGATCTGGAAGGTTTTATATTCGAGTTTGATGATTGCTTTTCATATGTAGGGTATGAATAAGAATTATGTCTTCCCCAAAGCAGTTTTATTATCATTATGCTTACCAATCTTGTTAAGAATGTATAAATTACTTCTCAAGGGTATGTTAGAAAATCCTGTATCCCAGAGTTTCCAGATCCCTTCCTTCCGGGGCGCCCTGTTACTGTCTTTACCTCCCTGCCTGCTTCCTGCTCCCGAGCCCTCTGGGAGTTGACTGTGGCAAAACTGATGCTGGGCTTCCTTGTGCTCCGTGGCCACCTTCCTCCTCACCGTTTTCTCAGATCCACTTCTTCACATAGTTTCTCACCACGCCACCCCCCACTTGTTACCCAAGCCTTCAGTCATCAGAGGAAAGGAGGAGACAGTACCTGGGCATTGTAGGGAGAGCTGGGAGGTGAGGAAAGCTGGCAGGATCAGAGGGGCAGAGTTGTTTGAAGGGGAACCGTGTGTTCTGAAGACGCCCTTTAAAATCTCTAAAGGGAAATGAGTGCCTTGTTTGACTGACAGTTCTTTGGAAGGTGTGAAAAATGGTTCAGTTGATCAAGTGCTTGTTGTAATCATACAGACCCTAGTTCAGATCCCGAGTGCCCAAGTCAAAGGTAGATGTGGCTCCATGAGCACCAGGGAGGCAGAGACAGGAGGATTTCTGGGGCTGACCAGGCCAGCCAACTAGTGAGCCTCAGGTGGAGTCTGAGATTCTATCTCAAACTAAGGTGGAGCCAGGTGTGGTGGGGCACCCCTTTAATCCCAGGTGTGGTGGGGCACCCCTTTAATCCCAGGTGTGGTGAAACAACCCTTTAATCACAGGTGTGGTGGGGCATCCCTTTAATCCCAGGTGTGGTGAGGCAACCCTTTAATCCCAGATGTGGGGGAACCCCTTTATTCCCAGTACTCATGCAGAGGCAGAAGGGCCTCTATGAGTTTCAGGGCAGATTGTGCATGTGTGCACTTATACATGTGTACCTGAACACACATGTCACACATATATAAACACATACATGCATACAAAGTATTCCTTGGTAACTGACTCCTTATACATAGAACCTCTTTCTATTGGCAAGTCTAAAACATTCTGCATGCATTATTGGTCTGTTTTTATGTTAAATTGAGAGGCACGGTCAGTGATGGTGAGTGACTTGTCTTAAGAGAGTTAGTTATTCATATGATGTGCTACTTAAGTCTAGAAACTTCATTGACAGGTAGAGGAGGCTCCTGCTTTCTTGAAAAAATAGTCCCATCCCATCCCGTCTCCCCGCCCCCCCCCCCCGGCCCCACCCCGCAGTGGACTATGCCCCTGAGCCCTTTGATTTGATGGGTACAGCCACAGCACACAAGGTGGTAACTATGCTGTCTGCTCCATGTTTCTTTTTCAGGACAGTAACGGAAGCTCTGAGTTACAGGAAATCATGCGTCGACGTCAGGAGAAGATCAGCGCTGCCGCCAGCGACTCGGGGGTGGAGTCTTTTGATGAAGGAAGCAGCCACTGATCTGTTGAGCTCCATGATTCTTGGCATTGTTGGACAAGCTTTGTTTAAGAAGCCTTGAGGGAATGTCAAATCCATTGTCCTGGTGTATGTAAATTATCGCCATGAAGGGAAACAGTGGATGCCTGAGTGAGCAGAGGCCGCGCTGCTTCTTTGACTGTTGTTTTGACTAAAAACTGAGAAGTGGGCAGGTGATCTTGTTCAGCAAGTCAAGGTACTTGCTGCCAAGCCCAATGACCTGAGTTCAAGTCCCTGGACCTACGTGGTAGAAGGAGAAAGCTAGCTTTTCCAAGTTGTCTTCTGACCACCATTCGTAAATAAACAAATAACATGTAATTAAAATAATTTTACAGTTAATTAAAAAGAAAAATATTAGACTGATTTGACCTTGGGAAACATTTTTTTCCACTTTCCTAAGGCGCACTTCCCTTTGCTCCATTAATTATCTCAGCCTCCTTTGGTGATCTGTGTTGGGTTGTTTTGACAATGGAAAATGTATTCATTGCAACAAGGAAAAGCTATGGCCATTGATGACTAAGTCTGCCGGCTCAGCTTTCTGTGACTGAGATGCCTGTCATCCAGGGAGGAGGCTCAGCGACACTACCCTCTGCTCACTTTAGACCTCTCCTCTGATGTACCTAATGACAGTGTATTTATGTTTATTTAAAGTTCTTAATGCCAACAGCTTAAAAAAAATCACATTTGAATGAATTGTACAATGTAGCCAGACCTTGACCATGCAAATAGGAGACTCTAGTACCTTCTCAAGATGTTTTGTTCCTCGAAGCTCTGTCAGTCGCAAAATCTTGCATAGATTACGCTGTGATTTAGTTTATATTCTGCTTATTGTGTATACTGTGTAAGTACATATGAGGAAGCACAAGTCGGGTCACTTACACGCAGTCAGTCAAACCAAGTAGCCCACCTTGGTGTTTATGACAGTATTTTGCTTAATGAAGGGCTCAGTTATAAATATTGATATAAGTAGTAAAAGGATATTGGGCCATTTTATGTGTTTTATCTGTGTAACAAGGGACACTTAATTTACATGTACTTTAACCCCATGAAAGAATCTAGATAGAGAGAAGAAAAATAGCTAACCTTCAACAAATGTTATTTTTGGAAACACAATTTTGTCATTAAATGTAATATTATTTCACATATATAAAGAAGATGTTATGTAAGAATGTTGTATATTTTAACATAAATCCATTTAGAGAGAATATCTAGACTCATTAATTTTTCATAGTGCCTTTTTCACTTGAGTCAGCTGGAAAGAGTCTGCAATAAACAGTATTTGCTGTATATTAATAAATAGCTTCTATCTCATCAACATGAAGATGTTTGCTTTTTGGGCTGGGCGTTTGGATTAACAGACTGGGAGCAGAGGTCCACATAACCAGAGAGAAGTCTTCAGTGTGTGTCTGCATAGAAAATGGCCTCCCTCGTGTTATCATCTATGCCTTCTATAATCAAGTCATAGTTGCTAACAAGAATGAAAACTCATACCCACTGTATTCATATTTGATCACTGTCCCAAGCGAATTTGTGTCCCGAAATCTGCAGTAACATCGAGCAACTTCTTAGGGGCCAAGTTTGCAGAGGTGTCGAAGGGACCAGCAGCCTCCATCGTCCATCTCTGTCTCCCCATTATCCCGAGCAGATGTGAGATGACAAAGGAGAATTAGTTTAGATCTCTTATGTTCCCTAAACCCTGACTTCATTGGGGAAAAAAAATCTCTGGAAAGCAAAATCAAAATCAAAATATTAGAATAACCCATTTGGAAAGTAGCAGATCCAACAGCAAAAGAATTGCTGTGGTTCATATCTGTATGTTATGATACAAAGGGAATGGAGGAGAGAAGCCATGATCACAGGATTCCGTGGCTCAGGAATAAAGGACACTGGAGAGTGGGGACATTTAGAAGGCAGAGTCCTCTCAGAACTTGTGTTCAGATGTCTAAGGAGTTTGGTCACTGAAAATTTTGAAGAAAGAGCAAGCAGCATAGTCCCAGTGATGATCTGGTTTCAGAAACCATGAGTCAATGGAAAGGTTCACAGTGTCCTTGAGAGTAGACCTCAAGAGAGCATGCCGCTCAGCTGGTGCTCGGCTTCTCAGGAGGCTGCTGCCATGAGGTCAGGAAAAGGGAAGTGAAGGTGCGTGCCTGTTGCTGCTGGTGCTGCTGCTGTTGTTGATGGTGCTGCTGCTGCTGCTGCTGCTGCTGCTGCTGCTGCTGCTGATGGTGATGATGGTGCTGTTGATGATGGTGATGATGGTGATGATGGTGATGATGATGGTGCTGCCGCCACCGCGGCCGCCAGCAGTCATATACCACTTGCAGAGTGGAGACCCAGTGATGGGGATGGGATGGGAAGTAAACCAAGGCAAGTTCATGATCCCCTCCCCATCTCTGAATCCTCTCATTTCTTGGAGAGAATCTGTCCAACTATCACATGGTAAAGCCCTAAATCACAAAAGGGTAGGCTGAAGAGCTGTCTATCTCCAGCTTCTGCACACGTAGACTCTTGGCTTGCTTTTCTGTATGTATTTGAAATTACATATAAGTAATAGAAAGCATATGAGTTTTTCCAACACAGTAGAATTATCCTTCCCTGTTACCTGAAAATATGCAGGGGAGTGAATTATTGATTAGGAGGGGGAAGAGAGAGCCCTGAGACTCTACAGAGGGGGTGATAGGCAGATCCCACACCTCAGGGGAGGATTCAAAGGGTAGAGCTGTATTCATCTGTCCTCAGAGGCATAGAAAGCACATTCCACCCAGGTGGTGGTAGCGCACGCCTTTAATCCCAGTACTCGGGAGGCAGAGCCAGGTGGATCGCTGTGAGTTTGAAGCCAGCCTGGGCTACAGAGCAAGATCCAAGATGGGCACCAAAACTACACAGAGAAACCCTGTCTCAAATAAATAAGTGAATGAATGAATGAATGAATGAATGAATGAATGAATAAATAAATAAATAAATAAATAAATAAATAAATAAATAAATAAATAAATAAAAGAAAGCATATCCCATGGTGCTTGGATTTGAACCTCTGAAGAACAGCATTGTAAGGTGAACACCTGTCTTAGAGGAGAAAAGATTGAAGAGGGGCTTCTGGCCTGTTGATGCTGGATCTTGTGGGACAGAGGAGAGTGTGGGTTTTGGTTCTTAAAATGCAGGAGAAGTAGAAATTGGAGTCACCTCGCGGTACTGGCATCAGTTGTTGGAGCAGCATTGAAGAGCTGTTGACTGGTTTTGCTCCCAATTTTGGTGTACCTCATGTGGTAGTCTTGTTACTCACTGACATTCTTGGAATTGTGGGAATATAGTCATGGTATTTGGGCAAGTTTGGACAATGATTATCTTTTCTTCCTGTCCCTCTGTTTCCCTTCCTTGGGTGTTTGCAGCTTCGTGTGCTGGGCCCTCTGAAGTTTTCCCATGCTCGCTGCTGCTCTGTTCAATTGTAGTGCAGCGTTTTCCCTGGGTTTCATTCTGGGTAGTTTCTGTTGCTCTCTCTCTCTCAGTGTGCTACCCTTCTCTTCTGTGGCTTTTATTGGCTCCCATTGTAATTTTTTCATGTGTGAATTACAATCTTCATCTCTGAACCTCCAACTTAAAATTTTATCTTTTCCGTCCCTACTAAACTCACTCAATATGCCTTCTACTTTTCCAACCTTGTGAACCACAGTTAAACTGTCTTTAAAGAAGATTGGGGAGGTGGGAGCGTAGAAAGCAGCTGGGTTGCAATCCACGCAGAGAACAATTACACTGCAGAGTGGGTTCATAATTCTAAAACGGAGAGGGAGAAATCTATGCAGATTTCTGTTACGGGAAACTTATCTCTCTTGTGGCCTGATGTCCAATGGAATCAGGCACTGGTTCAAGAGCAGCTAGTTGGAATAGATTATAGAGTTCCCTAACCGGACTGGAGAAAGGGAGGCCCCCGAGGAAGCAGAGGCAGGGCCAGGAGGTTGCATGGGCCTTTTTGAGCTGTGAAGTGAACTGGATGGTATGTGACTCGGTTGTTGTGATTATCTCAGGTTTTTAATCTTTATATTTGTCCCCGAGTTTTATTATATAATAAATGCAATATATTTCTGAAGATAAATAGTAAGGAGTCTGAATCAATAATTAAAAGCATTGCCCCAAAGAAATTACCTAGAAATGATGGCTCCATCGGCATATTTGAAAAACAGACACAAATCCTAAAACTCTTCAAAAACCCAAAGAAGGAACATTGCTTAGGTTAATTCTATGAGGCCACCCTTTTCCTCACACCAGAGTCAGAGAGAGAAACTACAGGCAAAAAGTCAATGTTCCTCATGAACGATGTTGTAATACTGTTTGTTTTCTTTTAAGATTTTTATTCATGAGTTTGTGTCCCCTTTGTGTTTTCATTGAGCCAGGTTCTCAGCCAAGCTGCCCAGGCTAGCCATGAACTCCCCACGTTGTTCAGATAGACCTTGACCTTGTGAGCCTCTAGCCTCAGCCTCCAGTTGTAAAGCAAGCAGACCGTGAGATCCTCGGCGGTGCTCACTGTTGGTGATGTCTAGAGGAGGGTCCCGTTCCACAGGCCCCAGACTCAGTTATAGTGTGTCTCCTCCTCCCCCACCTTTCTCTTCCCTTTATCTCGATTCCCACACCCTTCTCTTCTTTTTCAGAGTCTATTTGCACATCACTGTCTCCTGGGAGTTGGGAGCAGGAGGCAAGCCAGAGCCCAAGGCTCTGTGTCATGGAATGTCTTCATCAGGGAGTGGGGCATGCTTAGCCAGGGGAAGTACAACTTCTCATAGCAAAATTGAGGTTTGAGGTTTTTCTCAGCATTTGTGAATGATTTGGAAGATGAAGAAGCTAGTAAAATCCTGATAAAGTAAGCAATTGCCAAGAACTATGCAATCAGTGAATTACTAAGAACTACACATTGCCTAACTGGAAGATGGTCTGGCTGTCATCTGGCCCTGAGAGAATTTGGGCCTTGAGCCTGGACTTCTGGATAGATTGCTGTGCTTTAGAAGTCTCATACGCCACCTGTTCAAGGGGCAGCAGAGTCAGAGACTCCTAAGAGCCAAGATGCCTCCTGAAGAGACTGAAGTACCAGGCCTTTAGACTGCAACTGGGAGGTGAGCCAGTGAGCTGGGCCTCCCAACAGCCCCAGAGGGCCCTTCTCTAGGCTGATGTCAGGGGTTCCTCCTTGCTTCCCAGGTAGTTCCAAGTGCTAGTTTCTCTCCTCACAAGGCCCCCACAGCTGAATTTTCATGTAGATTGTGCGCATTGTTTGGTGGAATATTAGCTACTTTTTTTTTAAAATCATTGATGTAACAATATTGATGTAACAAAATACCTGACAAAAACAACTTGTGGTTTGAATGAGAATGTCAACCACAGGCTCACACCTTTGAGTCAGCCAAGGCTCACACCTTTGAGTCAGCCAAGGCTCACACCTTTGAAGGCTTGTTCCCCAGCTGGGTGCACATTTGGGGAGGTGTGGCCTTGCTGGAGGAAGTGTGTCATGAGGGGCTGGGCTTTGGGAGTTCATGGCCTCACCCCACTTCCTTTCTTCCCTTCCCTTCCTCCCCTCCCTCTCCTTCCCTCCCTCCCTCCCTCCCTCCCTCCCCTGAGAGTATGTCTGTGTGTCTGTGTCCAGGTTTTCAGTGAATGTGGCTGAAGGTATGATCCTTTGGTTTCCTGTTCCAGCCACCTGCTTGCTGTCTTGCCTCCTCTGCCCTTATGGACTTCCCAAAGTAAACTCTTCTGTAGTTGTCTGGGTCATCGTGTTGTGTCAAAGCAACAGAAAAGTAACTAATACACAACTTAAGGAAGGACAGGCTTTGTTTTGGCTCTCAGTTTGGAGTGATGTAATCCTTCCTGGTGGGAAGGCATGGCACAGGAGATTCAGGCAGCTGGTCACATTGTGTCCCCAAGTGAGAAAACAGCGAGAGATGAACGTTGCTGTTCAGCTCGTCCTCTGTTTTCCCTTTTTCTTTTTATTTAGTCCAGGATTCTGGCTCACAAGATGACACCACCGAAATTCACGGTGGCTCATCTTACTATAAACACCCTCTAAGTGTGTCTCCTTGACAGTGACAGTTAATGATCACATTAACTGGCAATAGTGAGGCCAGGAAACCCTGTTCTGAGTCTTAGCCATCCTCTTATATCTTCAGGGAATGTCAATTGGCTGGTAACCCTGATTTTGGTTAGAGAGAAAAATTGCCTTTCAGACTTGATCCACACTCCTTCTTTATGCAAGAAGTAACATGGCAGTGATCCGGACCAACATTAGCTGGTCTGCTCAGTCTTGGCCTTGACAGGACAGATAAGCATTTGCTGTGA